CCCCCCCCCCAGTGCCCAGGTGATCCCCTGCTCCCCTCACCCACTAGGTGATCCCGCAGTTGCACAGACGATCCGCTCCCCTGGGACCCTCCAGGTGCTCTTCCCCATCCCCAGGTGATTCCCCCAGGTACATAGGTAATCTCCTGCTCCCCCTCCCAAAGCTCTCCCCAGGTAATATCCCCAGGTGTGCCCAGGGCTCTGTGCTTCCTCTGTAAGCCTCTCAGGTTATCTCCTGTCCCCCCTTCAAGTGATCCCTTGCTCCCTTGGGAGCCCCAGGGTGATCCCCTATTCCCCTCTCCACCTCCAGTGAATACTCCATTCCAGATGATCCCCTCCTCCCCCCTAGCCTGCTTCACCTGCTCCCCAGGGACCCCCTCCAGATAATCCGTTGCTTCCTCCCAGGCAGCCCCCCTCAGGTGTGTCAGGCAGCCCCACAGGTGAGGCAGGTTAGACCCTGTTCCCTAGGTAATCCCAAGTGTGCCAGGTAGCCAACCCTGCTCCAGATAATATTCTGCACCCTCATATAACCCCCAGGTACTCCAAGTAATCTCTTGCTACTGCAGGTAACCCCCCACATTGCTAGGCAATCCCTCAAGCATTCCAGGTAACCCCCTGTTCCCCCCCAGGTAACCTCTAGGTGTGCCAGGCAATCCCCTGATTGCTTCAGTAACCCTCCAGTGTGCCAGGCAATCTGTTCTCCCAAGCAATTTCCACCGCAATTCCCCTCTCCAAGTAGAAGAGATTAACCCCCCAGGTGCACCAGGTAACACCCCACCCCCCACTGCACCTGGTCATCCCAGGTAGTGTCCTCCTCTATCCAGGCAACCCTTACAGTGATTCAGGTAGTCAACTGTTCCCCCAGGTAACCCCCAGGGAAGCCTCTAGTGCCCTCACTAATCCCCTGCCTTTATTCACTCACCCCCTCCACTGACTAAGCCAACCTACCACAGGGCAGTAATCCCCCCAAGCCAGGATACAAGCCCCTTCTCCCTCACCCTTCTTCTCCAGATGATGCCCGCCACACACACAAACACCCAGTAACTGTCCACAGTGCCAAGGACCCTCTCCCTTCCCCCTGGGTGTGTGCCAGGTGACTCCCCCTCCCCTCTCCTGCCAGTTACCCCTCTTTCCTTCCGTACCAGGTGACTCCCTGTCCCCCCTCTTTTTTGCTAGACCCCCAACCAGACACTCCTGGGCTAAGCACCCGATGACCCTCCCCCTACACACACACTCTAAGAGCAGGTAGACTGGGGCAGTAGGTTGCTGAGCGTCCGAGGGGCCTTGTGCCAAAGGGTTGAAGTGGCAGCAGTTTGTGGGGAGACTGGGGGACCTCAGGATGAGGCCGGGGGCAGAGGCAGAGTCACCCGGTTAGTTCACTGAGCGGAGAAGTGGGAGCCAGACGCCAGGATGCCCGCCTCTCAGGAAGGACTGGGGGGTGGGGTGGTGGCAAGTCCTGACCTGGTCTGCTAACACGGGCCAGGGTATGACAGTCCATGCCATCCTCCACCCCCAGGACTGACTCTTGGACCCTGACCTTCCGGCCCAGGACCCCCAAGCGAGGACATTCGGCCTCTTTTCCTCCCTGCCTTCCTTCCTTCCTTTGGGGCTTCCTTAGGGCTCAGGGGAGGGGAACAGAGGCGACGGGCAGCAGGGACAACCTGGCTATTTGGGATTTTGGAGCTGGGGAGATGGGTGCCAGCATCCCCAAGGGAGAGGGGCACGCCGAGCTGAGGGTGTGGGGTCCTGAGTGGAGTGGGACACTTGGCAGGGGCCTGGCGGAGGGCACATGCTAGGGTCTTCAAGGGACCTGGAGGCTGAGTGTCCAGCCCTCTGAGGAGTCTGGGCCTTGGTCTGGGTGGGAGAGAGATGAGGGGATGCAGGAGGGCAGTGGCTGCTGAGGGCTTAGACCCTTGCTCATCCCGAGCCCAGGATCCACACCTGTGCTTGCCACACACAAGCTCTGCTGGGCCCAGGTCCCTTCTCACTTGGGCGGGGGCAGCCAGGGGGACCCTCCTTCCTTCCATTGGTATCTCTAGGTCAGCTCCCTTCTTGTCCCGGGTCGGGGAAGAGGGGCCCCCAAGCCCTTTAGAGAAGCCTGAGTGCCCAGGTCTTTGAGCAGTAGTGTGGTGTGTGTGTGAGTGTGTGGCATGGGTGTGTGTATGTGTGTGTCTGTGTGTGCTTTGGGGGGGTGCTGGGGACAGGGAGGACTGGTGGCCTGGGGCTCTGAGGACCCCAGGGCTGCTGGGCTTAGTGGCTGAGTCTGGGAGGCCAGGGGCCAGGATGCCAGTGGTGGCAGAGGGCGAGGGAGAGGAAGGCGAGATGCCAGAGTTTCTGAGCATGGGCAGGGAGCCTGTCCTGAAGGGGACCGGGCTGCTGGCCGGAGGGGCCGGGGCCGGGCCCAGAGAAGGGCAGCAGCCATTGGCTGGACAGAGGCCGGAGTCTTCCCAGGCCTGACTCAGCCCCTGAGCTGTGACAGAGGCGAGGCTCTGGCCAGACTGGCTTATGTCTGGACACCTGCTAATGTGGGCAGGGCTGGGAGCGCCAGGCAGGGCGGGGCACCTGCACGCCCTCTGTAGCTTGAGTGTTTCCTGGGCCACCAGCCTTCCTCCCCTCCCCCTCCTCAGGCCAGTGGGGCGCTGTGGGGGGAGGGGGCGGGGGGGGGCTGGGCTGAGTGGGCTGAGGGGAAGAGGGCGCATTAAAGAGCACTGTGAGGTCTGTGGCTGGAGAAACTGGGTTTGAATCCTGTTTACCTGGTTCTGTAAGGCCTAGAGAGACTTTAGGAAGCTCTCTTCCAGCTCAAAATCCCCTGATCTTAGGGCTCCCTGAGAAAACATGGGCAGAGACTTATGGGTCTAAGTTGGGGGAAGGGGGCTGGATGCCTGAGTTCTATGAGGTGGAGACTCAAGATGCCGGGGTCCCTGAGGGAGGAGGGGGCCACAGTAAGGGGGGGTCAGGAGGCTGAAGGGGGCCATGGTGAGGGCAAGGATGCTGGGTCCCCGAGGGAGGAGTAGGGCTCAGGAACAGGGCTGAATGTATGAATTAGGGGGTAGCTGAGTCCAGAGGACTGGTACATAAAGGGGAGAGAGGCTCTGAAGCCTCCTGTACCCGCCCTGAGTCAAAGCATGCCCTCACCCTTTGCCCAGTGACCTGAGTAACAAGTAATAAGGTCTGACAGGGGCGAGGCCCAGGTCCCGGGCATCTGTGAAAGCAGGTGGGGCTGGGCGGGCCATCCCTTCTGCCCTCCTGCTCCTGTGTCCCCTGAGCCAGGGGCACTAGGTGAGGCTGGGGGCCAAGGGAGGAGGGCTCATCCCCAGGAAAATCGAAAGTCTTCCTGGTCAAAGGCCCTGGGCCCTGAGGTGTGTCCTGCTCGCCAGGGGTGCCAGGGATTTCAGTTTCCAGGATGGAGGCGAGGAGGAGCAGGCTGAGTGGGGCCCCGAGGGACGCTCAGGTGAGCCCTCAGAGGCCGGGGGCAGCAGACGGGGAGCTGGGAGCCCTAGGGAGACCCAGAACCCTGGCTGGAAGGCAGCGACGGGGAGAAGGGCCGGGGGCAGCTGGAAAGGGGGGGGCCTGGAGGGAAAGAAAGAAGGGAGGCAGAGGCTCGCCGGGGCCTGGGCAGAGTCGGGGTGGGGCCAGAGGTGAGAAGGGGGAGCTGGATTAATGGTGGTGATATGATCGGAATGATAATAGCTAACAACTTCAGCACTCAGAAGGATACACCTCTGAGAGGAAGGCTTGCCAGTAGGGTTATCCCCTTTTTACAGAGAAGTAAACTGAGGCCTGAGGGTGAGCCAGGGACTCCTGTGTGTGCGGGCCACAGGCTGGAGCTTTGGAGCATCAGAGTTAGGGGTGTGAGGTCCTAATGGGGGGCTGCAACTGGAAGCCCCCAAGCTTGGGGGGATAGAGGGCAGCCGGCCGGGTGCTCAGCCTGGGAGCCTGTGGGCCATATCTGCCGGGAGGAGGGCGGCGGGGGCAGGGGTGCGTCTGTGTGACATCGGGGGTCCGTGAGCAGGTGCACGGAGATGGGGGGTGGTGCTGAGGGGCCACGGGCTCTGGAGGGAAGGCGTCCCGGTCACAGGAGGAGGATAGAGGGCAGCCGGCCGGGTGCTGAGGCTGGGAGCCTATGGGCCATATCTGCTGGGAAGAGGGCGGCGGGGCAGGGGCGCGTCTGTGTGACATCGGGGGTCCGTGAGCAGGTGCACGGAGATGGGGGGTGCTGGTGAGGGGCCATGGGCTCTGGAGGGAAGAGGAGGATAGAGGGCAGCCGGCCAGGTGCTGAGGCTGGGAGCCTGTGGGCCGTATCTGCCGGGCGGGGGTCCGTGAGCAGGTGCACAGAGATGGGGGGTGCTGGTCACGGGAGGCCCCAAGGTTGCGTCACTGGTCTCAGGGGTGCATGGCTGGCCGGTGCTTCCCGTGGAGCTGTCCCAGCTGTGTCTCTGGGCCTGGTGCCCCCTTTGGGAAGGTGACGGAGGTTCCTTGGCAGCCTCATTCTGTCTCCGAGGGTCCTTTGGCCCCGACGCCTGCTGTCTGACCCTGGTCAAGGCCCTGCCATTCTCTGGGCTTCGGTATCCCCTCCATAGGGTGGGGGGGGTGGCCAAGCTTGGCTTCTCACGGCCTCCTCTCGCCCGCAGGCCATGGCTGCGGCCAGCACGGCGCGGAAGGCGGTGGGCCCAGTGCCCGAGGCGGCCCAGCCTTTCCTGTTCACCCCGCGCTCGGGCTCTGGGCTGGAGAGCAGCACGGGCCCCCCGCAGGTGGAGTGGGCCGCCCGGCGCCTGGTGTGGGTGCCCTCCGAGCTGCACGGCTTCGAGGCGGCCGCCCTGCGGGATGAGGGCCCCGAGGAGGTGGAGGTGGAGCTGGCGGAGAGCGGGCGCCGGCTGCGGCTGCCCAGGGACCAGGTCCAGCGCATGAACCCCCCTAAGTTCAGCAAGGCTGAAGACATGGCGGACCTCACGTGCCTCAATGAAGCCTCGGTTCTGCACAACCTACGGGAGAGATACTACTCCGGCCTCATCTATGTGAGTGGTGCCCCCGGATGCCTGCCTTCTCCCCCCCAGGAGCCCCCCATGCTTCAGCTCTAAAGCTGGGCCCCAGGGCCCAAGCCCAAACTGGATTGATTGATTAGGAGCCCAGGTGTCAGACCTCTGGGGCTCCCTCTGTCCCCTCCCATCCCTCTCACTGGGAGCTCTGGATTCAAAACCTGGCTCGGTTCTGCCCTCTGTGAGCTTGGCCAACTCCCAGAATTCCTTGCTCTGGGCCTCGGTTTTTTCCGCCCATCAAATGAGGGAGTTGAGCAGAGTGGCCTCTGAGGGAAATAGGGATCCTGTCCGCCCATCCCTCTGCCAAAACCCAACCCTGGTCCCGACTCTGCCTCTGGCTTTCTGCAGAACCAGGCCCAGAATCTGTCCCTCTCTGATCCTCAGCTTCATCTGTAAAGTGGCTCCCTCTCATGCCCCTGGGCCATCCCTTCCTGGCCTCGGTCTCCCGCAGGAGTGGTGTGGAGGGGTGCCCTTCTGTGCTCCGAGGGTGGATGCCTGGGCCCTGATCTCTTAGGGCCTCAGTCTGTGCCTGCAGAAAGGGGGAATGACCGTCCTCCCAGCGCCTGCCTCGGTGGGCTACCTTGGAGGTCTCAGGGCATTGGCCCGGCCCCCACCCGCCCTTCCCCGTGGAAGAGAAGATACAGACGTACCTGCGGTTCAGTCCGGGGCTGGCCACCCCTGCCAGCCACTTTAATGCTCATGGACAAGACCACCCTATCCAAACCCTTCACTTTGGAGGTGGGGAAACTGAGTCCAGGGAGAGGTAGCCAAGACGATGCCTTGAGTGACCAGAGGAAGGGGGTTGAGGTTTGGGGCTCCCAGGAGGCAGGGGGTGACCTAGATGGGTCACCTCGAGCTCTGGGCCTCAGCTGCCCATCTCCCATCTATGAAACAAGGAAGGTTGAAGGGCCCCCCCATCCCCTCCCCCTCCACCCTGGGGACTCAGGCTTCCCTTGATCCTGGGTGTGGCCATCCCAGCCTGCCCTTTGGTCCCCCCCAGGCTCAGATTCTGGCTGCTTCCTTGGGTGTTGCCCTGGGAGCGGGTGGGGCCGGGAAGGAGGAAGCTCCCCTGATGGCCCGGCCTCCCCGCCCTCATTGAGAGAGTATGGGCCTCGGTTTCTCCCTCTGTTAAGTGCAGGCCTGGAATTGTGTAGTAGGCAGGAGACAGAGCCACCTTCGAAGCCTCTCCTCATCCTTGGGCCCATCTGGCAGTGACTTTGCAGGGAGACGGGCCGGCTCCAGGCCTCCCGATCCCCCCCGGGCCCAGGCTAATGAGTCCTGGGACTTGGAGGGGCACCCCTCATGGCGCCACCAAGCATGAGCTACCTGGCCTGGGAATGTGGGTGGGCGGGCCCGCCCTCCAGAAGCGTTGAGAGGTGGGGGGGTGGCAAGAAGAGAGGATGGTGAGATTTGTCTGGGTGCCAGGCCCAGGGTGGGGCCCCTCACCCACCCGACCGGTTGCTCTGGCTCTGGCAGGAGCGCCTCCCTCCAGCTCTCCCCCCTCCTCGCCTTGGCCGCTGCCCCCTTGGCACCCCTCCCCCTCTCCCTTTGCCTCCCTCATCTTCCCTTCCTCCTCCTCTCCATCCCCCTTTTCCTCCTGTTTCTCCCCCTCCCTCTCCCCCCTTTCCTCCTCTCCCCCTCCCCTTTCCTCCTCCTCCCCCTCCCCTTTCTTCCTCCTCTCCCTCCCCTCCCCTCTTTCCTCCCCTTCCCTTCCCCTCCCCTCAGTGGTCCCCCAGGTCTAGGAGGGGCATGGTCAGGTGCCGCTCTGGTCTCAGAGCCTGCTGAACACCATGTTGACCCGGTGCCTGTGGGTTGACTGAGCACTTTGCATGTGTTGTCGTTAATCAACACCAGCCAAATTCCAGGCTCAGATCCGTACCCATTTAACATTCGACGGGCATTTATTAAGCGCCTGCTGTGTGCCCCCCTGCCTTTCCTCTCAGTCACTCTGGCAAGGGTCACAGAACTCGTCTGCATCACCTCCGCTTTATCGATGAGCCAGGCCCCCATGGCTGAGTCCGGGCCTGGGGAGCAGGACCCCCTCTGACCCCTCTCCCTCCCTGCAGACGTACTCAGGCCTCTTCTGTGTGGTCATCAATCCTTACAAGCAGCTGCCCATCTATACGGAAGCCATTGTGGAGATGTACCGCGGCAAGAAGCGCCACGAGGTCCCGCCCCACGTGTACGCGGTCACTGAGGGGGCCTACCGCAGCATGCTGCAAGGTCAGGCGGCAGGAGGGGCACCCCGAAGCAGGCCTGAGGGCCCCCCCTCCCCCGAGAGCCTCTAGGCCACACCCTCCCTGGCCGTCTAGAACGCCCTTGTTCTGCCAGCCCCAGGATGGGGGTGGAGAGGAGGGGGCACAGAGAGGAGGAGAGCCCGGGCGGCAAGGGGGGGTGTGGCCCGTGCTGAGGCTCTGGGCTTCCAGTCACGGGCAGCACCCTCGGGGGTCAGAACAGCCAGGCCATGCTGACAGTACAGCCTTCCAGAGGCTGCCTGGAGGCCTTGTCACAAGCTTGAGCCTGGTCTGAGGCCACAAGGAGGGGAGGACAAGGCTGTGGGCCACAGAAAAGAAGCTGGCCTTGGGGCTCAGACCCCAGCTCTGCCCCTTAGCTGCCGGCTGGGCCTGGGCTGCTGAGTTCCTGTGTGCGTGCGTGTGTGTGTGCATGTACGCGCACGTGCGCGTGGCAGGGGAGACTGCCTGGCCACAGAGGTTCCTCGTGTGTCTGTGCCCAGGACCCTTCACGGTGGAGGCGCTTCCTTCCTCCTAGGGGGCTGCCTGGGGAGTTTTCCACACTGAAGGATGGTGCCCGCAAAGAGCTCAGGGTCCCAGTGTGGACCTCGCCTTGGGCCCAGGGCGCTGCCCCAGACTCTGGAGGAGCTACAAAGACTCCCCAGAGCTTTTAAAAGAAATCTTTTTCAATTGGCAAGCGCATAATTTGTGTCCCATGAGATAAAGGAAACATAGCAGGCATAGCTGAGCAAAGCTGGTGCCCACGTTGGCCAGGCCCACCGAGGCCTAGCCCTGTTCCTCGAGGCCAAGCTCTGGGCGGCCCAGAGGGCCAGGGCTGGCCGTCTGCTTGGGACCCCCGTGGTGCCATGATGCTCAGCTTCCCTCCGGCCTCCACGGGACGGCAGCCCAGCGGGTCCTCGGAGGCAGTGGGCAGCCTGTCTAAGCTAAGCAGCCCACGGAGGACAGGACAGGCGCTTCGAGCTCATCCCCTACACCCCCTGCTTCACGGAGGGGGAAACCAAGGCGGGGCAGAGCTTGGCCCAAGGCCCAGCCCAGTCCGTGGGCCCTCCTGGGAGCTGGGGTTGGGACTAGGGGGTCAGCCACCTGGCCTGTAGGCAGCAGCGTCTCAGTGACATCTGTCTCTGTCCCCTACAGACCGGGAGGACCAATCCATCCTCTGCACGTGAGTGACCCCCCACCCCCGGACTCTGCGGGAGGCGGGATGGCTTGGGAAGGGGGGAGTGGGGCCTGCTCACCTCCCCTGCTGCCTCTCCCTCAGGGGCGAGTCTGGGGCCGGCAAGACAGAAAACACAAAGAAAGTCATTCAGTACCTGGCTCACGTGGCCTCGTCCCCGAAGGGCCGGAGGGAGCAGGGCGCCCCGGTGAGTCTCCCTCCAGCCGCCCCTCCTGGCCCCAGGGTGCTCTTCCCCAGACCCGCCCCCCTCCCCAAGGCCTGTCCATCCAGGTCCTTAGCCTTCCCTCTCATGCTGCCGGCTCTTTCCCACCTCAGGGCCCGGCTTCCTGCCCCTCTCCTCCTGGACTCTCCCCTGGGGCACCTTCCTTGGCTCTCCTTTGCCCGCCATCCCTCGTGGTCCAGGTGGGGAAACTGAGGGCCAGCACGGAGACGGGCCTTCCCTGAGGCTCCGCAGTGAGCCCTGGCTTGGCTTTAAAGTTGCCTGTTGTGCTTTCTGGTTGTCAGCACCCCCCAGCCTGAAAGTCAGTGCAGCCTCAGCCCCGAGGCCCTGAAAGCGGCAGGCCGCTCTGCTGAGAGCCACGCAGGGAGCCCGAGGCCCAGAGCTGCACGGATTTGCCCAGATTTGGGCCTCGCTCTGGCCTCTCGCCTCCTCAGCCGGGGGCCTGCTGTCGTCACTTCTTCAGTCTGTCATTTCTGGGCCCGGGGAGGGGAAGGGGATCTCTGGTCGTTAGGAGCCGTGGGACCTCTAAAAAATCCTGGAGCACCTCCGACTTCCTCATCTGTAAAATGGGGGGAACGATCCTTGTAGCACGCAAAGAGCTGTGAGGATAGGGCCATGACGGTCCTGAGGGCAGGAAGTGAGAGGCTGGGACCCAGGAGCCCCCAAAGGTGGCACCTCTGGGGGATGAGTGAGAGGCCGGGACCCGGGGGCCCCCGAAGACAGCACCTCTGGGGGATGAATGAGAAGCCGGGACCCGGGGGCCCCCGAAGGTGAGAGACTGGAACCTGCGGCCCCCAAAGGTGGGACCTCTGCCCTGTGGGGGACAAGGACATAAATGATCGCCCCAGAGCAGAGTGGGTCTGGATCAGGGGGAGAGCAGGAGCCCCAAGAAATGGGAGCTTTGGGAGTCTTCTCAGAAGAGACGCAAGGAACGGGGCTGACAAAAATGCCCAGGGACAGGCTAGAAAAATGAGCCGAAGGTGCTAGGTGGCAAGCGGAGGCCTTGAATGCCAGGATGAGGAGGGCCGTGTGCTCCTGGACCTAAAGCGTGAACAGCTAACTCTGGGGGCCCTCCATGTGTCTGTCCTGTGTTCCATGTGCCGTGTCCTGGTCTGTGTCCTGTGTTCCCGTGTGCTGGGTCTGTCCTGCCTTCCTGTGAATTCCCCAGAACCCTACCAGCATGGTGGCCTACGTGAGTAGCGGCCTCCCTCTGCCCAAACCCGCCTCCCACGGTGCACCGGGCCCCGACCCAACGGCCTCCCCCGACCCGCACTCCCACCCCGGCTCCCACCTGCCAGTGACCCCTGTGCCTGGCCCCTCAGGGTGAGCTGGAACGGCAACTGCTCCAAGCCAACCCCATCCTGGAGGCCTTCGGGAACGCCAAGACCGTGAAGAATGACAACTCTTCTCGCTTTGTGAGCCGCAGGGCCCCTGGCGGGTGGGAGCTGCGGGTTTTTGCACCCCGTGGGGATCCAGGGCCAGGCAGAACAGAAGCTGATGTCCCTGGGAGCCGTGCGGGGTGGGAGGGGGACAGGCCTCAGGGAGTCACCCAGGGCTGGGGGCTCCCACAAGGGGCTTGGGCCTTCCCTGGAAGCGGGAGCGGGCAGAGAAGGGAGGAAGAACCATCTTAGCGGGACAGTTTCCTCTTCTCTCCCACCCCAGGGCAAGTTCATCAGGATCAACTTTGATGTGGCAGGTTACATTGTGGGGGCCAACATTGAGACCTGTATCCTTGGGGCTGGGGGCTTGGAGTGGGGGAGGGGGGGTGGGGAGCATCTGGGGGCTCCGTGTGGGGGGCAGTGGGGAGGACGGCTAGGGGGGCAGAGGTGGGGAGCATCTGGAGGGAACAGGGGAAGGGCAGCAGCCACAGAGCTTGCTCAGGTGGGGGCATTGTGGCCTGGCTCCTTGACCGCCCTCACCCCAGACTTGCTGGAGAAGTCCCGGGCTATCCGGCAGGCCAAAGACGAATGCAGCTTCCACATCTTCTACCAGCTGCTTGGGGGAGCCGGGGAGCAGATGAAAGGTCCGTGGGCTCCCCCTCCCAGTACGCCGTCGTAGGGAGGACGGGGCCCCATAAAACCAAAGGGCTAGTGGTGTCCGGAGAAGAGTGCCCCCCCCATTCTGTGCTCTCAGGCCCCTCCTGGCTTGGACAGGCCGGGTCCAAGACCCTCCATGGCTCCCTGTGCCCCCGCACCCCCGAGATGGTGGGGGTGGGGCCCGAGGCTCTTCCGTGGGTGCCCCCTCTCAAGCTCCACACCCTCTTTCTTCCTTCCTTTCCCCTCTACCACAGAGGACCTCCTTCTCCAGCCGTGCTCCGAGTACCGCTTCCTCACCAACGGGCCGGCGTCGTCCCCAGGCCAGGAGCGCGAGCTGTTCCATGAGACCCTGGAATCCCTGCGTGTCCTGGGCTTTACCCACGAGGAGATTGTCTGTGAGTAGGCCTGGGGCCTGAGCTGGGCCCCTGCTGGACCCGGACGGAATGTCCCCAGGAGAGGCGACTCCCAGCAGGAGGGGACCCCAGAGGGCTCCAGATGAGGGGAGTGAGGCCTGTCTGGCTGCAGCGTGATGCCTGGGCTTCATGCCCGAGTCTGATGGCTCCAGACTGGCCGTGTTTCCCACAGTGCCCTGCAGTGTTGACATGCAGGGAGAGAACCCCAGCCGGAGACATGGTTCAAGGCCCAGCCTGGCCTGGGACCAGCCGGGTGCCTCTGCCCCAAGTTGGGGTTGGAGTCTATTAGTCAATCAACAAGCACTAATTCAGCCCGCTCTGTCGCAGACCCTGGAGGGTGCCGTAGAGCAGCTCAGTTAGGACTGGAAAGGCCAGCTCTCAGAGGAACTAGTCTGGCCCTCGTCTTAGAGGGGTAAACTGAGGCAAAGAGAGACTCCATCACAGCAGCTTAGAGCTAGAATCACGCGGGCCTCTTTGGCTCTCCCAGGCCCAAGAGCTTCCCTTTCTAAAACTGACTTTCTTGGGCTGTTTTCATAACTGAGCAGAGGCCCAGATGGCCCTGGCTCATTTCAGCTCACGGATGTCAGTAGCTGGGCCCTGCCCATTTTTCAGGTGAGGATGTCTCCCTCCGGCTTCCTCCCAGAGCTGCTGGCTCCCCCGGGGGCCCAGAGGCGCCTCTGGCTCTTCCTCTGGCTTTCGGACTGCCCAGGTCTCCTGACCTTCAGCCTCTAGCCACCTCCAAGGTCTCAGCAGTCCGCCTACAAACAGACTGGTTTCCACATGCAGAGCCCGGGGTGCTGTTCCCATAAAAAACAATTACAACAATTAACCAAGCAAGCTGACGATTGTGATCGAAAGCTGCATTTATAAAAGGCTGCAATGGAGCATGGGAATGGAGGAGGCTTAGCTGGAGTGCTAGTCAGATGGAAAAAACCTGGAGGTCTTAGTGGACCACAAACTCACTATGTGTCAATGGCTCCACAACACCCACTGTGATTGAAAAGCTGCATTAGTGGAGGCAAGCGGAGGGTGAGCCACCTCTGCAGCCCCGGGGTGGGTCCATCCTTAGCATTTGAAGGGCTCAGGCTATTTCGCCCAAAGAAGAGACTGGGCAGGGAGATGGGGATGAACTGGGTTGTGTAGGAGAAGCAGGTTTGTTTTGTTTGGCCCCAGGGGCAGCGCCAGGAGTGCCCAATAAGCATCTATCAAACACCTATGTGAGCCGGGCAGTGGGGACACAGCTCTGAGAGGGAGGCAGCCTTGCCCTCCAGGAGCCCATGTCCCACACAGATGGGCCCCAAACCCAGGGGATGATCAGCAGAGAGGAGGTGTCTGAGCTGATCTGCCACTGGCTGAGGGCAGAGGGCAGGGCACAGCCTCCCAGGTCCTGATGTCCGGGGCGGACTGAAGCTTGGCTTGGGGCAATGCCCACCTGCAGAGGCCCAGAATAAGCCTTGGTGGCAGCTGAGCCCAAGGGGTTGGGCTTCCTTAGTGGGGGGCTTCAGGAGGGGGCTGGAGGACCGTGGGGGGGCCGACCGTTGGTGGCGCCCTGACGGGTGCCTGCCCGTCCCCCACTCCAGGAGGGCAGGGTGTGGCCAGCCAAAGAACAGGCCTTTGGAATGCTCCCTGCCTCCCCGCCTCCCCCCTCCAGCCCAGAGGGCTCTTCAGTAGCTGAAGAATGACACTTGGCATTCCAGTCTGAGCTCCTCAACACCTGACCCACAGATGGGGAACAGGGGGGAGGGGCACCAGGCAGCTTGGGCCAAGGCCTGGGCCACCCTGCGGCAGTCAGGAGGAGCGAGGGGGCCTGGGGTCAGACCTAGGAGCAGTGGCACCGAAGGACTGCTGGGCCTGTTAGGCGGCTAGAGAGAGAGAGAGAGAGAGGCGGAGGCAGGTCCCAGCCTGCAGGGGCCTGGGCCCAAGTCCATTCTCATACATTCGACTGCACAAAAGAGAACCAGGCCCTGCTCACCAAGGGCAAGAAGCCGGGGTGGGGCCTTGGGGCGCCCCTGCATCAAGAAAGGGTCCCCCAGGAAGGTGTGAGGAGCCAGGCAGAGGAAGGGCAGAGCCTTTAGTAACAGAGAGATTTGGGAGCCAGAGAGTGGAGACGAGAGGCCAGCTTATCGGGCAGAACTGGGGAGAAGCTGGCCAGGGGGCAGCGCGGCTCAGCTCCTCTCTCCCCCAACTCCCACAGCCATGTTACGAGTGGTGTCTGCTGTTCTCCAGTTTGGAAACATCTCCCTGAAGAAGGAGAGACATTCGGACCAGGCCACCATGCCAGACAACACAGGTAGCCCCAGGGAGCCGCCGGGGAGCAGTGACTGGGATGAGGGTCGGAGGGCTGCCGTAGGAGATAGCACCGACTTTGGGGGTAGTGAGCTCCCTGTCACTTGAAGTGTTCAAGCAACATCCGGCTGATGTAGCGGGAATCCCTGAGCTGGTACATTTAGCTATACCTAGGTAGCCTCTGGGGCCTCTCCCTGTCTCTGTGTGTGTGTGTGTGTGTGTGTGTGTTCCATAAATCTGGCCAAGTCCTTGATAAAACTGTACAATGATAACAGTGGTGAGAAGCGTCACAGCATTTTAAATGTCAAAAGGCTTTCCCAGCGACCACCCCAAGCGTCACAAAGCACCCAGCTGTTGGAAGTCCTCTGATTGTCACTACCCATCAGTGTTTGAATAGACCCCTCCCGCTCCCGCCTGGCAAACCTGCCCTTGGACCTAAAAAACAAGTGGAGAGGTGCCTTGAGCCCTGGAGGCCAAAGGGTGGAGAGAAGCAGCATTCCAGTCCCCCACCCCTCCAGGGACTGAGGGAGCCGCGGCTCGTGGGGTGCTGGCCTCGACTGTTGTTTTGTAATTCTTTCTGTTCTCTTTGCCTGGCTGTCCTGGTCCAGATTGCTCATCTAGCCCTGCATGCTTGTACAGGCTGTATCAACTTGGACGCGTTTTCCCACATTTCTCTGAGTTCCTCACTTGGTCATCCTTCGGGTACACGATGCCACCCAGTCACCTGCTCACTTGTGTAGCCATTACCCATTAGGGGCAGAGTCAGAATTGGACTTCTATCTGATTTCTTGGCTACTACCACAACGTGCTACCAGGAATCTTTTGGTGTTTATAGTACTTTTCATCCTGTCCTTGGCTTTTTTTTGTTGTTGTTGTTGTTTTTTGGTGAGGCAATCAGGGTTAAGAGTCACACAGATAGTGAGTGTTATGTGTCTGAGGCCGGATTTGAACTCAGGTCCTTCTGACTCCAGGGCCGGTGCTCTATCCGCTGTGCCACCTAGCTGCCTCTGTCCTTGGCTTTCTTGAGGGTTTGAGGGTCAAAGGGTAGGGATGCTTTAGTCAGTCAATCAACAAGTGCCCCCTCTTTGCCCAGTTCTGGAGAGACAAAGAAAAAGCAAAAACAGGTCCTCCCCCCAGGGAGCTTTCCTTCTGATGGGGGAGACAACATTTATAAATCTGAACGTACACGATATAGGATAGGTGGAAGGTTGCCTTAGAGGAGACATCACTGACAATTTCAAAGGCCATGAAAGGCCTTCTGAATGTGGTGACTTGAGCTGAGGCTTGAGGGAAGTCAGGGATGCTAAACGTGGGGGGTCAAGAGGTAGAGGACCAGTTAGTGCAGAGGCCCACAGCTGGGGATGGAGTGCCGGTCATGTCCACGGAGGAGCAGGTGACCAGTGCAGCTGGCCTGTGGAGTACCCAGAGAAGAGCACGACATGGGGAGCTTTGGGCAGAATGACTGGACCAATATATAGCTCCACCAACTATGTATTAGTGTCCCTGTCTTTCTTCAACCCCTCCAACTTTGACTGTTCCTATCTCTTGTCATCTTTGCCAGTTCACTGAGAGGGAGGTGAAACTCAGAATTATTTTGAGGTGGACTCCTCTCATTGCTAGTGATTTGGAGGCCATCTCTTTCCTATGGTTGATAAGTTAGCAATTCTTCTTTTGAGAAACTGTTCATGTCCTTTGACCACTTCCCTATTGGGGAATGACTCTTGGTCTTCTATGTTTTATTATTTCCCTGCATCAGGCCTTTATCAGAGAGATTTTGTGTAATTTTTCCCCCAGACTAGAGTGGCCCCTATCCTGGCTGCATTGATTTTGTTTGGGCAAAAGCTCTTTTATCTCCTGTGATGAGATGATCTTTACCTCTTGCAATCTCCTCTATCCTTTGTTTGGTTAACGATTCCTCCCCTAAAATGGCTAAACTCATTGGGGTACATGGGCATAACTCAATAATAACTGCACCATAAGAAGTCAAAAATATGAGAAAATTGGAGCACAGGAAGATGTATCAGAACTGATGGAGAGAAGGAAGAGAAAGCAGGAGAACGATGATGGGGATAATGTCAGGGGACAGAACAAAGATGCTGAAATGCTGCCCGATGAGCCCAGAGAAGGTCATCATTAATCAGGACGATGTGCCTCCCACCTGTCTGTGCAGCAGGGGCTCTGCACACCCTGGCGGGCCAGCTCGCTTGGCTGAATGCTCACTCTCTTTTTAAAATCCTTGTTGGGAGGGAGGGGAGGAAAGGGTTATGGATAAACCAAAGTCTCAATTTTTTAAAAAGCTACGTCTAAAGAAATAAAATCTTAGGCAAAGACAAAAGCAAATTCTCCCCTTAGGTGTAGTCATGAAAGGTTTCTCCATCTGTTTTCCTCCAAGAGGCCTCAGACCTTAACCCGCTCCTTCCTTCCTCCCTGATAGCGGCCCAGAAACTCTGCCGCTTGCTCGGCTTGGGAGTGACCGATTTCTCCCGTGCGCTGCTCTCCCCCCGCATCAAGGTTGGGCGCGACTACGTGCAGAAGGCTCAGAGCAAGGAGCAGGTACTGACCGGGGCAGGCAGGAGGAGGGAATGGCAGGATAAGGACCACCCTGATGACCCGGGAGGAGCACGACAGGGAGGGGAGTGCCTGGGGGAGAAGGGCTGATTTCTGCTCAGGGGGAGGAGCTGTCCCGTCATGGAATGGGCTGCCCGAGGAAGGAGGGGGGACGGAGAGGGCTGCGACTGAGCCCTTGTGAGGGGTGTTGTGGGAGGTAGGGGCTCGAACAAAAGCCCCCTGAGAATGTCTTTCTCCTTTCTGCCTCTAGCCCCTCCTGGTCCTCCATTCTGTCTCCCCCCCACCCTCTGTCTCCATCCCTCCCCAACCCTCTCTCCCATCCCCCTCTGTCTCTGCCCCACCTCCCATCCCTGTCCCTCTCCCGGGGCTCTCACTGCCTGTGGTCAAGGCTGGGGGTTGGGGTTGTGGCCCAGCGGGTCCTGGGATGGCTCCTGCTGTGGTCACAGCCCAGTCGCGGCACCCGACTCCATCCTGTCTCCAACCCTCTGGGCCCTCTCTTGCACACAGGCTGACTTTGCCTTGGAAGCCTTGGCCAAAGCCACCTATGAGCGCCTCTTTCGCTGGCTTGTGCTCCGCCTCAACCGCGCCCTGGACCGAAGCCCTCGCCAGGGGGCCTCCTTCCTGGGCATCCTGGACATCGCTGGCTTCGAGATCTTCCAGGTGAGATCTGGACCTTCCCCTGCCCCGCCCTTGGCTGTCCTCGACACCTGGTCCAGGCCTGCTCGGTCTCCCCCACCCGCCTGTTCCTCCTGACTTCCTCTTGGCTGATGACCAGCAGTGGTTAGGGCACACGGAGTCAGGGTGACCCACTTAGCAGCTGTGTGACCCTGGGCAAGTGACTTGACTTCTCTGCAAGCCTCCGTTTCCTCATCTGTAAAGGTGCGTGACAGGAGCACCTCCCTCCCAGACTCATTGCATCAAATGAGACAATATTTTGGGGGTTTTTTGTGAGTCAGTTGGCATTAAGTGACTTGCCCAGGATCACACAGCTAGTGAGTGTTATGTGTCTGAGGCCGGATTTGAACTCAGGTCCTTCTGACTCCAGAGCTGGTGCTCTGTACACCGCGCCACCTCGCTGCCCCCAAATGGGACAATATTTGCAAAGCGCGTTGCAAACCTTAAAGTGCTATGAAGGGTAGCTATCATTATTGTCATCTCACTGGGTCTCTTTCCCCAGTCACTCAGCTTCCTCCCACCCCGGCCTCAGCTTCTCAGCTTTTCCCCCTCACCACCCCTGCGGGGTCACCAGCTGGGCCATCTGGGTCTCCTCTCCTGTTCCCTCCCCCTGCTCTCTGTGGCCTTCATCTAGCATACTTGTCCTGTAGCAGGCCTAGGGCTTGGAATCCTTGTCTTCCTGCTATGGTGGGGAAACTAAGGGGGAGATGGGCTTGACCTGGCCTGGCTGTCCAGCCCCGCCCACCTGGCCTGTCCCGCCCACTGCCTGGCCTCCCCACCCCCCACTGTCTGACTTCTCTTATCCAACACCGCCCACTATCTGGCCTCTCCCCCCGATCCCCCCCAATCCACTATCTAGCCCCGTCCACCTGGCCTGCCCCGCCCACTGCCTGGCCTCTCCTGACAAGTCCCATCCACTATCTAGCCCCGCCCACCTGGCCTGCCCCGCCCACTGCCTGGCCTCTCCTGACAAGTCCCATCCACTATCTAGCCCCGCCCACCTGGCCTGCCCCACCCACTGTCTGGCCTCTCCCCCTGACCAGCCCCGCCCATACAACCTGCCCCGCCCACTGCCTGGCCTTCCCCCCCC